TAAAATCATTGATAAGCGACAATGCAAATATTACGGTAAATTTTATTCAATAGATACAGGCTTTTTCACTATTAAGTCGGTTTTCTAAAGCAAAAAATAAGATTAATCCAATTCGTAATCGCTTATCTAAAGAAAATGCTTCTGCTGAAAAACGTGGTATGAATCAGGTATTATCAACTGTGTAGAAGTTTAATAAATTAGGTATGATCGTTATTGTGTAGGTCAATAAATGAGTAACAGTGGTAAGTTTGACAAATATTGTAAATGCATAATATGTATATTTTACAAATGCAAAATTCATGTATTTACGTATTTACTCTTTTAAATAGCGATACCTAAGTAGGTTTTATTAACTTGTTTAAGCAAGCACAATTATTAATATATTTGCATAAACTGAATTCGATAACCAGTTTCACGTATATGATTTGAAACCTGTTTCAACAGTTTCAAGCACAAGTTAAACAGTTGGAACAGGATAACATCCCTAGTAAAAATATTAAAATGACATGCTATAAAAACAACTAAATACTAATCGAATACACACTAAATTACTTAATGTGAAAATCTAACACTATACGACAAAAACTTAAAACAAAAAAGGAACGTCATACTGATAAGGTGCATAAACCTCAACATCGCAACTAGAACAAACAGTTTTTATTCCAGATGAATACCAATTATCATCTTTAATGTTTGTGCATCTATAATATATTGAAATTGCAACCCTTACTAATGATCCAAGTTGAGGATTAAAATTATTATCATAAAAGGATTCCACAGTTGCTGGATTAGATCCTACGTAGGAGTCACCTACCCAAACATTAGTATCATTATAGCCATTTATAAAGTATGCTTTTTTAGCAAACCTCTGATAATTTCCTTTTTGATCATCTAGAGTATAGTGACCAATTGCTGTAGGCGCATTCCATTTGCTAGGAAATACTTTCCTGGGCGATTGTAAAGTAAGTTTAATCGATCTATTTCTCGTCCAAGTTACATTTGTAATTTTTGGTACCCAATCGCCATTTTCTAAGAACATTAAAATTATAAAATTTATTAATAAATTACCACATGGACAGTTTGAATCAAGGCTAACAATATAACTACTATTACATTCTCGTAAATACAAATTTAATAAAAGCAAAAGAATAATAATATGATTCTTTACGTTCATGATTTTTATGTAATTATAATTGTATTTAATAACTTTTTAAAAAGTTCAAAGAGAAACAGTTATGATTATTAAGTTCAAAGAGAAACAGTTATGATTGTTAAGTTTCAGGAGAAACAGATATG